TCCTTCCTTCCTTCCTTCCTTCCTTCCTTCCTTCCTTCCTTCCTTTTATTTATTTTTTTATTTGATTTGTCAATCGCTTGCAAGATAATAGGTATAAGTATAAACAGGAAATAGGTAAGGATAAATGGAGACAATAGGACAGGGATGGTAGGCACGAGAGTGCGCTTATGCACGCCCCTTACAGACCTCTTAGGAATGGGGTGAGGTCAATAGTGGACAGTTTAAGGTTTAAAAAGTGGAAGTTTTGAGGACGTAACAACAGAGTCAGGTAGTGCATTCCAGGCATTGACCGCTCTGTTGCTGAAGTCGTATTTCCTGCAAATCGAGTTTGAAACGGTTTACCTTGAGTTTGTATCTGTTGCGTGCTCGTGTATTGTTGAGGTTGAAGCTGAAGTAGTCATTGACTGGTAGGACATTGTAGCAGGTAATTAATTTTGTGTACTACGCTTAAGTCCAACCATAGGCGGCCTAGTTCTAGGTTGTCCAAGCCCAAAATGTCAAGCCTGGTGGTGTAGGGTATTCTACTACAAGCAGAGGAGTGTAGTACTCTTCTCGTGAAATACTTCTGGACTCGCTCAATCGTGTTAATATCTGACATACAATGAGGATTCCAGACAGATGAGCTGTCTTCAAGTATTGGTCTAGCAAAGGTTTTGTATGCCCTAGTTAGCAATTCAATATTTCCGGAGGAGACGCTTCGTAAGATTAGATTTATAACTCTTAAAGCCTTTTTGGCAATGCTGTTAGAGTGAGCTCTGGTGCTTAGGTCTTACGAAGGTCCTTCACAGAGTGAGGATCATCGACGAGGTCATATCCGCCTAGCTTGTATTTGGTGCACTGATCTAGGCCGAGTTAAGGGCGGATGCGGGAGACCGGTGGGCTGGGAGAATGGCGGCGGTAACTCCAGGAACACCACAGGGGTTGTAACTTTGAAATCAGGTTGTAAGTATTGGGTTATTCTCTTGAGTACAGGCGGTCCTCAACTTACAACAGTTTGTTTAGTGACCGTTCAAAGCTTACAACGCCGCTGAAAAAAAAGGGGGACTTAGGCCCGTTTTTCACCCTTACGACTGTTACAGCATCCCTGCGGTCACGTGATCAAAATCCAGGCGTTTTGGCCACCGACTCATACTTATGACAGTCCACAGTGTCCTGGGGACACGGCGGGGGTGTTGGACTAGATGACCTACAAGGTCCCTTCCAACCCTGATTATCTCTTATCTGAAGCCCTTTTGTAACCTTCTGACTATCAGAGCCAACGGAGAAGCAGAGCTATTTGCTTCACAAGCCTGTTATTCACTTAACCACTGTGGCCAGCCAGGTCGTAAAATGGAGGGCAAAACTCACTTCACGAATGCCTCTGTTAGCCAGAGAAATGTTGGGCTCCGTTGCGGTTCGTAAGTCGAGGACTGCCTTGTAGCTTTAGGGAGGGTCTGTCATAACTTCAGGTGGTTGCTAAGTGGCCGATCGTAAGCGGAGGATTCCCGGAAGCCCCATACCGGAAGCATGGACGGACGTTCATGTTTTCTACACAAAAACACTGCTCCGAAGTGTTTCAGAGCAGAATAGAATAACAGAGGTGGAAGGGGGCCTTGGAGGTCTTCTAGTCCAACCCCTCCTTAGGCAGGAGAGCCTATCCCATTTCGGACAAAAGGCTGTCAGATCTCTTCTTAAAAACCTCCAGTGTTCGAACGTTCACAACTTCAGTCAATCAATCAATCGATCAGAATAGAGTTGGAAGGGACCCTTGGAGGTCTTCTAGTCCAACCCCCTGCTTAGGCAGGAAAACCTGGTACCATTTCAGACAAACAGTTGTCCAATCTCTTCTGAAAAGCCTCCAGTGTCGAAGCACCCACAACTTCTGAAGGCAAGGTGTCCACTAATGTCAGGAAATTCCTCCTTAATCCCAGGTTGCTTCTCTCCTGGATGAGTTTCCACCCGTTGCTTCTTGTCCTGCCTTCAGGGGCTTTGGAGAATAGCTTGACTCCCTCTTCTTTGGGGCAGCCCCTCAAGACATTGGAAGACTGCTATCATGTCTCCCCTAGTCCTTCTTTCCATCAAACCCAGTTTCCTGCAACCGTTCTTTATATGTTTTAGCCGTCCGTCCTCTTTGTCGCTCTCCTGTTTGCTCTTTCTGGCATCTAATCCCTCTGAAGACAAGTTAATGAAAGAAGGAGCCCTGAGAGCCCAGGGATGGGCCTTTCAATAAATAGGATTTTCTTTCCCCCCCCCCCCAGGTATTTCCTCTTGTCTAATGGACCTGCCCGTCATCAGATGGGAGGAACTGACATTTCAACAGCTCATCCGTGAATCAGTGCAAACACAAGAGGGCTTGTTTACAGAACCCTCACGTGTAAAACGGGGGGATTAAATGGGGCAAGAGGGGGAAACGGAGTGCCAGGCGCCAAAGCAAAAGGTCTCTTCCTTTTTTTTCCCCCGCGTTGGCAAAGCGCCTTTCTGCTAAGATGCTAATTCCCGCCGCCACCTTCCCTTTTCCATTTGGGCCGGAAGGGAAACTGCTGCCCGATCGAGTTGCCAACGGTGGGAGGGTGGGATCCAATCTGGGTCGGTCAAGTGAGACCAGAGGTTTCGGACTCACGCTGGAACCCGTCTTCAGGGAACTTCTTTCTGGCGGAGGGTGTGGCATTTAGAATAGAATAGAATAGAATAGAATAGAATAGAATAGAATAGAATAGAATAGAATAGAATTGAATAGAATAGAATAGAGTAGAATAGAGTAGAATAGAATAGAATATAGAATAGAGTAGAATAGAATAGAATAGAATAGAATAGAATAGAATAGAAT